TTTATAACAATAAAAATCTGTTTCAAGTTACACTTATACGTTTTTGGCTTTCAATGTCAAAAAACAATGTGGGCATTTTGGACAAATATCCTGAGTCAATTTTGTTGTATTTTTGGAAAGAATAGTGGGTTGTCTTTCCCTTAAGTTCCAAGACCCCCAGAAAAACCAAAGCAGGATACCCTAACATAATGTTAAGGTTATTTTTCTTTGTCTCACTGCACTCCAGGACACTCAAATTGAATTAAAGTACTCCGTTAAGGTACTCTGCCTTTAGGCATAACAGAATAATGTTAAAAAACACAGTAACTTTGCTTTGCAGTTTTGGTTTGCAGTTAAGGCTCTGGAAGTATGGTGTTATGCCTATGTAATACAGCGTAACTTTAGCATGCTAATAATTAATAACTGTCATCGAACACACAAACACACACACACAATAGCTTGAATACCGTTTTAAAGCAAATAGTGTTGCAGCTAGCTATTAAGAATAGCCGATTGCTCTCAAGGTAAAATGTTGGTGGAGGTGGCTTTAAAACACAGACACCAAGATCAAAGTAAGAATGATTATGTTAGGCTACAAGGAAGATAGAGCTAAATTGGCAATCTATTAAAATTACGTGTTAGCTAGCTTAGGCTAACTACTTGACAAACAAAACAAAACTGCGAGCCAAACTATGCTATGATCACTAGATTTATGCAGAGGCTGTCATCATTACCTTATACTGATTTTATGTATTGATCAGTTAACCAAATGAGTGATCAAATGGAAGTTAGTGCTTTTTGCTTTGGCAGGAACCTATATTATCATGATGACAATGCAAAGGCAGACTACCTTAACTTCCAAAAAGGAGTCAAAGGTTTTTTAAAGAATTTCACATTTCCATGATTCTGCATATAAATAATTTAGCTGGACTACAAACATTTTTGTAATTTTTCTCAGTTCTAGACTCTGGCAAGTTAAGATATTTTGCATTTGTAGGGCAGCACTGATCCATCAAACTTGTGGTCAAAGTGGTCAAGATACATAGATAACAGGCCATGTTGTGTCATATATGAAGACATATGCACAAAGAACTTGTTCTAGAAGAAGACTAAGCTCAACACAGCTACATTTTTTAATCACCATCAAAGCTTATAAATAAAATAAAGTCACATATAAGTGAATAGATCTCATTTGTAAAAACAATAATGATAAAACCTTTTTGTAATCTGTTACAGTACTGAAGCTACCCATATTTAAAGAACATCTACTCTATAATAATTGGCAAATTCTACAGTCTGACTTAATATGTGTTGGAACTACATGCCCGGAAATCATCACTATTCTTTATTCTATTTATTTATGTCACTGGTCTTCTATATGTGGCCAGAGGGGAAGTTGGTTTATGTCGGTTAGGGCCTAAACATTTTCTTGCACTTTCTTTTCTCATAGCCCGCATTTGATTTACTACAGTCCATGGAGATAGATAGGCAATCTATATAAGTTGGGTTTTGTGTTGCCACACTTTAATATTTACATCAATGAATAAAGACATTCAATTGGAACATTTTTTTTGTTTTTTAACCAAGCACAATAGCTTGGATATAAATGACACTGACAATACAGTCTACCCGACCCCCCCAAAAAACATTCAAATTCTCAATGACAAAAACTTTAAACTGTCCAGGAATACAACTTGAGCTGAGACAACTAAGAATTAATATTGAACTGTTGTTAATATTGGATTCATTAGACACAGAGAAGACCACTTGGATCAAGACCACTGGCAAAATTGCAGAACCACTTAGCCAAATGTAATTACATCTGTCTTGTGAGAGCTCCTTAAAATTCCAAGTGTGAGGGTTGTCATTATTAAAGTATTAATGGAGTGTATCATTGAGGAGTTTATTGTTCTGTTTTTTTGGCATTGGTCTTCAGGGAGAAGTCATAGTCTTATATTCTCTGTCATAATCTGGATGGTAGCACCTGTGTTGCCTTTTTACTCTGGTGACTGGTGAAACCAACAACTTTAATCAGTTGTAAAACTGTTTGTAGAAATGTGCCCAGAACTGCTGAGGCCAACGTTTATAACTAATGAAGTCTTGCTGAAGGGACATTGAAGGGATTGTTGGAACTCATATTCAGTCAGGGAGGGAGAGATAGAGAACAAGGGAGTGCCTGTGCAGTTATGTGTGGATAAGAGAAGAGGTTGTGTTTGTTATGAACAAAAAGTAGCTGATGTGGAGTTTTACTCTGTCATGATGATAAACTTGTAATAATGTGCCTTTATTTTCTGACTTTGTAATATGAGTAACTTTACATTGGCAGTTTCAGAGCAGTTAGTTTGTGAAAGTTTTCTGTATGTGTGAGATGCCTATGCCGGTTGCTGGGATGTAATTATTTGTGGAGTGTGACACATAAATGTGTTGCATAAGCTTTGTTAGCATGTATACTCCAGTTAGGAAAAGGACAATGGATTAGCAGTCCATTGCCTTAACCATTCGGCAACCTCGTCTTTGGCAGCCTGTTTTCAAAGGGACTGCTGGACGCGCTGTCCTGACAAAGCAAACAAAGTTGAGCACATGTCAGCTTGGCACACAAGTCATTGAGCAAGTCTACAAGGGCAATTAACTCAAATGGTAGAGTACCTCTGCTTAACAGCGTTCTTATTCACCTCCACCAACTGCAGGCAAGTGTTCCTTATTACTATTCCATTATTTGAAACCACCTTCTTTGGATTTCTATGATTGTTTCAAGCACACACAGCCCTGTGGAGGGAAGCGCACTTCTCTTCAGGCTGTTCACCCCAAGAGTGAATTCAGTCTTGTTTTTGGGTGACGTAAGCCGCCAATTGGTTGGCCTAGTTTTGTCCAGGTGTCTGGCACTGGCTGTTTTGTCGTAATCTAGCCAGTTTTGCCACAGGGCCGTAATTGTGCTCCTTTCAAAAGGAGACATGAAAAGAAACCACTGAAGAGCAAGAATTAGGAATCACTAAAAGGGCCATCTTGTTGCAATCAATTTTTTAACATTACCTATAGAACTTTAGCTTGTTGACCTGTAGACACGGCAGACTCAACATAACTCAACTGCGACGAGGATGGGATTCGAACCCACGCGTGCAGAGCACAATGGATTAGCAGTCCATCGCCTTAACCACTCGGCCACCTCGTCTTTGGCAGCCTGTTTTCAAAGGGACCGCCGGACGCGCTGTCCTGACAAAGCAAACAAAGTTGAGCACATGGGGGGGAATTAGCTCAAATGGTAGAGAGCTCGCTTAGCATGGGAGAGGTAGCGGGATCGTTGCCCGCGTTCTCCACAAGGCTTTAGTTTCCTCTGTTCTGTCGATGAGTCAGTGACTGAAAGACGTTAAATGGATGGACAAACTTCACTCGGATGGTGATGGTCTTCTTAGTCCTTCATACCGCTGCCTGAAAGCCTACTTAGTTGCATTGCTCTCTCTGCCTTGTGGTGCACTGTACGTGTGTTCTTCTTCCAGCGGCTGTGGACGGTAACTGGAGTTAGTGCCCCAGCCACCACTGGGCAAGTTAATTCCCTGCAAAACCAGCTTGTCGTCCGCTCTGCGCTTGTACCTCTGCTTAACAGCGTTCTTATTCACCTCCACCAACTGCAGGCAAGTGCTCCTTATTACTATTCCATTATTTGAAACCACCTTCTTTGGATTTCTATGATTGTTTCAAGCACACACAGCCCTGTGGAGGGAAGCGCACTTCTCTTCAGGCTGTCCACCCCAAGAGTGAATTCAGTCTTGTTTTTGGGTGACGTAAGCCGCCAATTGGTTGGCCTAGTTTTGTCCAGGTGTCTGGCACTGGCTGCTTTGTCGTAATCTAGCAAGTTTTGCCACAGGGCCGTAATTGTGCTCATTTCAAAAGGAGACATGAAAAGAAACCGCTGAAGAGCAAGAATTAGGAATCACTAAAAGGGCCATCTTATTGCAATCAATTTTTTAACATTACCTATAGAACTTTAGCTTGTTGACCTGTAGACACAGCAGACTCAAGATAACTCAACTGCGACAAGGATGGGATTCGAACCCACGCGTGCAGAGCACAATGGATTAGCAGTCCATCGCCTTAACCACTCGGCCACCTCGTCTTTGGCAGCCTGTTTTCAAAGGGACCGCCGGACGCGCTGTCCTGACACAGCAAACAAAGTTGAGCACATGTCAGCTTGGCACACAAGTCATTGAGCAAGTCTACAAGGGGAATTAGCGCAAATGGTAGAGCGCTCGCTGCGCAAAGGAAGGGAGCCAATCTTTCCGCCCCCTCACGCAAGTGAAAAATACTGGAAAAATACTGAATAATGTAATAACAGATATATTTTCCCCTGCAACAACATCCAGGTGATATCCCTGTGCGTTGTGACCGATTTCGAGCTATATGTTTATCGAGTCACCCGCCGTAGCTGGATTCGAACCTGCGGTCTGCCGGACAAGGTGCGTTCTAGATTTAAATGCCCAAGCTATGCCGCCCCTTAGCGGTCAGAAATCCCATAGTTATTTCACGTCATTGCATTGATTAATACTTATTATTTTCGTGTGTATTATTAAGAGCATTGCTTTAGCTTTAAGATATATGCCCCTCAATGACTAGTAATGTTTATATCTATCTATCACTTATATGTATATTACTATTACTGCTTTGGGTTTAAGATCATATGGACCCCAATGACTTGTGATGTTTATTTCTGTATCTGTTAAAAGAATGATAACAATAAAATGTGCCTTCAAAGACTGTGGGACAATATGGAGCTTTTTGCTTTAGCTTTAAGAGATATGCCCCCCAATGCCTAGTAATGTTTATATTTATCTATCTATAATAATAAAGTGTGCCATAGCAATTTCATGTCATTGTATTGATTAATACTTATTATTTTGTGCTTATTATGAAGATTACTGCTTTGGGTTTAAGATCATATGGACCCCAATGACTTGTGATGTTTATTTCTGTTTCTGTTAAAAGAATGATAACAATAAAATATGCCTTCAAAGACTGTGGGACAATATGGAGCTTTTTTGATGATGCACAGGCTGAGTCTTAAATGTTGGTATAATCAGATTTAATGTATCTGAACACAAGATGTAAAATAAACAAGTATTGAAATGAAAACACACTCTTCAGATTATCACTATATAAAACTATATACATACAGGGAACTATACACGCAAACACACAATATAAAATATATACAAGCAAAACATTGATAAAAACTTATGTAAAATAAACAAGTATTGAAATGAAAACACACTCTTCAGATTATCACTATATAAAACTATATACATACAGGGAACTATACACGCAAACACACAATATAAAATATATACAAGCAAAACATAGTTAAAAACTTATTTTTCTGCTCTCTGTTCTGCCAACCACTCTTCAAGAGATTTGCCATTTGAGGCACGTGAGCAGAAGGTGGCACTGCCATGACGACTGTGCCCAAACTCCTTTGTCTTGGGCTGCCCACAATGGCTACAGGTATTGTAGGTGACCCCTCTTGCATATTTCCTCTTGTGGACTCCACTCTCCTCCTCAAGGGCCCGCTGGCGCCTGTTCCTGTGCGTGAACCGGGACACAGGAGTAGCAGGTGCAGGAACAAGTGGAGCTGGGCCTGCACTGGATGTTGAGGCACCAGAAGCTGGCAGTACGCAGGCCACAGTGTTGTCTGGGTTGAGGATGCAAATCCCTACCCTAGGCAACATCCCAGGAGCTGCAATGGGCTGTGCAATGTCTGGTGCCGTGGGGGCAGGTGCGATGGGGCACTCCCTGGTGGCAGCAGCTGGCCGTCGGCCTGGCCGCAAAACAGGAGCCTGCCCTTCCAGATTTGGAGGGAGGACAAATTCATGCCGTGGGCCTGATGCTGAAGGAAGGAGCTGCAGTCGTTCCTTCGGTGGTGGAAGCTGGTCAGGTGCCACAGGAATCAGGTTGGTTGGAGCCATTCCCTGAGAAAGGATACTCATCTCCTGGCTCTTCAGCCTCCGTTGAAACCTGAGAGAAGATCATTTGTGTTAGATATTTATTCATTAGAGAACTATTCAGTCAATTTGAGGTAAATGATGTGCCTGACCTACCATTGAATGAGTGTCCGCTGATTAAGCTCAAACAGCTGGATCATTGTCTCCACCATAACCCTTGGACTGTTGAGCACTAAGTCCCGGATGTGGTGATAGTCGCCGAGAATTTTAGACCATCTGGGGGTGGACAATCCAGCCTTCTTGGTGGTTTTCTTGTGCAAAGTGCACAGCCTTATGCACATGGCCTCAACCAAGCGGCTGGTGTTGGGCCACTGAGCTGGCCCCCCAGGATGTCCTATCAAGCAGCGCTTCACGCTCTCCACACCCGGCGTGACTCCAGACCGCTTGGGAGCCTTAAAACGGCCACTTGTCAGTCGCTGCTGATGACGAGGCTGGTAGTCGACCCGCTCCTTGTCGCCTTCAGGGAGAGCTGTCCACAGCTGGATGACCTGGATCACCTGCAGCTCAGTGAGGTAAGACACCTCACGGAGACCCACCAGGTAAGCAGCGAGATCCTGGACCTTGTCCCACCCAGCGATCCCATCCGGTCCAATGACTGCTCCCTAATAAATGGATTGATTAATAGTAATAAATGGGAAATAAAATGTCTTTGAGATTGGATTGAAATAGCCGTTAAAGTGTCTTACCTGAGCCTCGTCGGACAGATTATTTTCACTCTCCCGTGTAGCCTCAGAGGTGTCAGGCAGCACTGAAGGGGCAGCAGCAGGATGTTGTCCTCCATCACGTGACGTGGACGGCAGATCAGCAGGTGATGCAGGGGCCTGAGGTGGAGGGGCCTGAGGTGGAGGGGCCTGAGGACTCAACGGTGAGGGCCTGTTCTCCAGATGACGGCAGGGGTCATCCTCCTCGAGCACAGGAACTGTGATGTCCTCTGTGATCTCTTCTGCAAATCCCTCATCTTGTACGTCCTCATCACTGACTTCCTCCACCAGCCTGTCCTCCTCCTCTGGGTTCTGGAGCACTGGAGTCAGTGTTTTGCCGGTCTGGTTGTACAAGTACTCCATTCCCAGCAATTCACCTACAAAAACAAAACAGAAAAAAGGAAGTATTCTTAATATGTTTAAGCAATATAGCACTCGTGATCGCGGGGTTGGTAATGGATAATCCACCGGTGTTGTTCGGCCGTAGGCACGAGCGCAGGTAACAACACCGGTGGATTATCCATTACCAACCCCACGATCACAAGTGCTATATTGCTTTTATACAACAATTCTACTGCCAACTAACTAACATTAAAACAGTGTGTCAGAGTGGGGATGTCCCGGGGATCAGAAACAAATAATTCCACAGAACCCAATTGCTGTATAATATATAATACTTTAAAGGTTAAATGGATTAATAAATAGTGTTATTAAAGAACAAATTAATTAAGTTATTCTTTCTCATGTTGGATGAGGGATCATTTCTTACCTGTGTACGCTCCAGGGGTGCGATAGCGCTCATCCCAGCGTCTCCCTAGCACCTTTCGGCTGAGCTGATCCACTGCCTCTCTCAGAGCGCTGCCATAAGAGCGGATGGAAGGTGCTCCTTTTACGGCGTCCTCCATCCGGTCATCATTCCAGCGCATCAGCCCTTCAAGAAGATACGCCTGGAAATGCGCATCACTGGCACTGGTTCCTGAAGGTTAAATAAACAAAGAAGCGTTTGTCACAATTGAGCAAGATATTCACTACGTATGAGATGCTATGAAGAATCTGTAACATGTAATAGGGCTGTAATATTAGAAATATCAGAAACTAGTAACCCATATGTATGCAATACCTGGAATAAATCTGTTTAGGTGGAGGTGGAAGGACTCCAGGGAGGTAGAGCCACGGGCACACCTGTAGCAGCACAGCTCCACACCTCCTTTCTTCAGGGTGCCTGTCTTGATGTAGAGCAGGAAGTCCTCTGGGTCTTGGATACAGCCCACGTGTTTCTCCTGCTCCTGCCATATCTGCTGGATGCGTTCGTGGTCCAGCAGAGGAACGCCCAGAGTGTCCTTCCCACTTGCACCGTCAAACAGACTGATCAGTGACCCAATCAGCCTGATGGTCTCCTCCACCCCTCTGGTCTTCCTCCTGCAGTGCAGCGCCAACTCCCTCCGGGTGATGCGAGTGGTCACCGCCTCCTCGGAGATGTGGCCAATCCTCCTTGCTGCCAGCTCACCCTCCTTGGCGCGGCGAAGAGCAGCAACATCCTCCGGATCCCACTCAAATATGCACGTGGACAGGCGTGCCATAAAAATGCCATACAGAGGGTGAGCCTCTGTTGTGACGCCTGCAGCAAACCGGCGCATGAAATGCCATATATCAAGGCGCACTTGAAGCCCGTCCCACTCTGAAAACATGGCCTTCACCCGACAAGGGCCATGCTGACTGCAGCAGTCTCTGTCCACGTACAAGATTTTGGGTGCCACCTCTCCTGCCTCCCTGTACCGCTTCATCAGGCCAGCAGCCATAGCGTCCAGTGCTTGTCCCTCACCGGCTGTCAGGACTGAGACAAGAACTTGACCGTGCTCATTTCCCACATTGGTGCACCAGGCAGCTGTACCTGCAGCAGCACCAGCAAGTTTCTTGGTGACCTTTTTTGTGGAGTCCATCTTGAGGACAGAGCCAAAGATGGAGGTTATTTTGGCCTTCACCTCATGCAGTCGCCCTAGAACATCCCTGGCATACACAGCTAACAGCCACTTAGGCTTGGGAAGGGCAGATAAGACGGGAGGCTCAGCGAAAGCAGGGGGGCGCACAACAGAAAACCTTGTGAATGGTTCACAAGCTGTCAGGTACTGCAGGACACGCTGCGTCCATGCTTCGCTGTGTTGTTCCAGCAGCTTTTTGTACAGCTGAGTCACACTGTTGCCCATTGTCCTCTCCCTCATCATTCTCAGCACCCGGATGTCACAAGAGTATCTAAGGAAAGAAGAGTGTAATGTCTAAAAAATAACACAAACAACACAAATAAAAGCACCTAATAATTGACATCCATTATGAATTACCTGTATGTTAGCAACGCTGGAAACTGGCTGCGGTGGCCCATATCCAGCTGTGATAAGATGTCCTCGGACCAAGCAGGATACTTTTTTGAGCAGCGTTTGCACTCCAGGTACTCAGTGGCAAGGTCATACCACCCGTCAATGTCCAACACCTTGCGCACTGTTCGGTACAGTCCTGCTGCTGTTAGTCGGTGCTTGCCACAGGCTGGACGAACACAGACAACAGGAAACAGCCACATCTTATGGGGCATCCATAAGAACAGCGGCCGACAGAAGAAGTGGTCAGGTGAGGCGGGAGGCTGGGTGTGAATGAGGAGGGGCTGAGGTGGATGCCACCAAAGTTTCAGCTGGGCCACTAGCTCTGGCTTGCCGGTTCGTGGGTTGGCCTTGAACAATGTGTGCCGAATCCACTCTTGCTGGAAAGGTGGAAGCTGATCCTTCCAGTGACTGGGAAGCTCAGCTGGTGGCTGATGAACAAGAAGACCTGGTATCGCTACTGGAGGGGGATCGGCACAGGCCTCCAGATGCACAGTGGTTGCAAGAGCTAATGAAGGAGAGATGAAGCAAACAGGCAGCAAAACAATATTAGGTTGACTGTTGCATTTGATAGTTATATGCCATAAATGCAGCTCACAAACAGGCACAGTGCAGAAATACAACAGAAAGAAACAGCAAAGAACCCAGTGTACACTTCTTTTAAGAAGTGCACAAAAAGAATGCATTCCGGTTGATGTGATATAATTCTGCACTGTGAAGAAAAATATCTAAAATGTAGAAATTTTCCACAATATAATATTTCCTAGCGCTCATTAAACACTTTCACAATATTTGCATTTGTGTCATATGCCACACCTGTATCTAGCTGTGCTTCACATTGCGATGCAGCAGATACCAGTTCCTCATCATCAGCCTCAGAAGTCCCTGGAGAACAAATGTTAAAACTATTAGGCTTACTTTTAATACACAGAGACAAATGTATGCAAGATGGTGCATACTTACAAGTAGGGAAAAGCTGCCAGTGGGCCATGTGTTCGGTCGGGGTTTTGCAGCTGGAGTTAAGGTGCACCACGGTGCTGGAGCTGGAAAAAAGTGGACAAGTCTGTGTAGTCAGGTAAATGGTAAAGCTATACATGTAGAACTGCTGTAGGGGAAATTCAAAATTCACACTCCTACTCACAGGGTTTAACTGGTGACATCAGCTTTCTGGCCAGCTGTGAGGGAGACATCTTTTTGCCACGTGCCAGCAGCGCTTTCACAGTGGCAGGCTTCCATGTGCCCGTTTGGATTCCTGCAGGTTGAGGTGCAGAGGCGCTGGAGGCTGCAGGTGTAGGTGCAGAGGCGCTGGAGGCTGCAGGTGTAGGTGCAGAGGCGCTGGAGGCTGCAGGTGTAGGTGCAGAGGCGCTGGAGGCTGCAGGTGGAGGTGCAGAGGCTCTGGAGGCTGCAGGTGGAGGTGCAGAGGCTCTGGAGGCTGCAGGTGGAGGTGCAGAGGCTCTGGAGGCAGATGTGCGTCTCTTCAAGACATATGCCTTGAAAATGGCCATGTTGGTGTTGGGCCGGGCATCTGCTTTAACCAGGTACTTGATGAGGGCCTGGGCCTCTTTGCTCTGGTCCTCAAAAACCTCCTTCATGGAGCGGCCCTGGAATTCTCCGAACTCCACCATCAAACAGCCCTGGTCTCCAGTTTCCCGCGCTTTAGCCTGCATTTCCTGCTTCTTCCTAAACTTCTCCAGTTCCTCTGTCATCTCTCTGATGTGAGAAGTGTACTGCTGGAACAGCTGTTTATTCTCTGACAGAGGGTTTGCCTGCACTGTTTCCCTAGCAATACTATGCACTAAATACACTGCATAGCCAAGACTGTTCTCCAGGAGCCATCTAAATCTCTGGCCCTGGTACATGCCAAACTGAAGCTTGCAGTGAGCCAGTACTAAAAACCTGTCAGTGGGGTCTCCACCGTGGCCAGTGACAAAAGTACCGGCCTCTGCCAGCACCTCCTCTTTGGGTTTAGCCCTTCCAGACTTCCCACTTTCCACTTTCTTTGCCTCCTCCGACGGCGCCATGAGAAGTCTGGTCGACCTGGCTGACTGGCGGCGAAAAACTGGGTAGGCATACATCTTCTGAATGAAAATAAGAAAAAGACTGTTACCTCTAGTCATCTGAAAGATACCTGCATGTAAGTGTGTACATTCCATTGTATATTCAACTGTACCAGAGGTTGCCTGCCCCCAGGGCTAAATCATTATTTGTCTGTGGGCATTATTTTTTTTAAATAAGGGGAGGAAACCTCTGTTACAGTGTATCTGACGTCACAACATTGGTACCATTCATACAGCTAAAACTAATGACATTATTTATTGTAAGTATGTTGCCTTCCTGCTGCTTTCCTAGTTTGCAGGACTAGACAGCTAACACTGGTCTCAGTAATGTGATGGGATTTCAGTTCATGGGTTTCATCAGGTTCCTTTCCACAGGTGTATTAATCAAGCACCATGCAGTCTGCATTCATAATCTAGGTGCTTGATGGTATACACCTGTGGAAGAGGACCTGATAAAACCCATTAATAATCCACAAGGAGTGCTTTGTTAACTTCTTTTACTGAAGTTTCCAGCAATAAGATAAGTATTGAAATGAAAACACACACTCCAGCAATACAGGAGACTGAGACTCGTTTTTGGTTGTACACAAACAGAAATAAAATACAAACATTTCTCATAAAATAAATATTATGCATTTGTGTCTGATAAAATCAAAAGCTGGTTGGATCTGTCATTATTCACATGAATGGATTTAGCGATACATTAACATTAAC